AGCCCAGGGTGCTGCTGGGAGCAGGAGGAGCCACCAAGACTGGGAGGGTGCTGGGTTGAGGCTTGACTGGCTGATTTCAAGAGGAGCTGCAGGAAGGTTTGGCAGCTGCTGTGCATGCCCAGGCTGTGGGATCCGGGGCTGGAGCCCTTCTCCCTGCTCTGCCAGCCCTGCAGTGCTCCCTGCCCCTCTGTGCTGTGCTCCTGCCCGGACAAAGCCCAACTGTCTGCACTTGTTTGTGGGGTCTGATGATGCTGGGGAGGGGGAGGGGGGGGTTAAGCAAGGCAATGATGAAATCCTTCCTTGTTCCCACTGTCAGGAAGATGGGAGCAGCTGCAGGAGGCAGGACGGGCCGGGATCCCAGCCTTCACAGGAATAAAATATTCCATCCCAACAGTCTTGCCTGCTGGCAGTTTGTGTGGGTGACAGAGGGCAAAGAAATGAAGGATCACATCCAGTACTGAGTGTCTTGATGGGGGAAAACCCTTGCTTGGAGGTGCCCCTGGGGTCTGGCTTGAGAACAGCCTGAGGGTCAGGGCGGTCCTTGGATCCCTTTCCCTCTGCAAGTGGCTGACATTGGGATGGAATCCAGAATGAGGGGGTGGTGGGGACAGTGTAGCCCTCCTGTGGCAGTGCTGCAGGAGTAAGGAAGCCCACCAGGACCTGGCTGCCTGGGGATGGTCACTAGTGAAGCTGCTTGGGATGGCAGAGCGAGGTGCCCGGGTGTGGGGCGAACGATGGGCCAGCAGCCTGGGCTCACCAGCTCCCTGTGTGTGGCCTGTGCCTGTCCCCAGAGCAGGGGCACTTAGCAGCCTCTCCCCATGGGATGCTCTGAGCCCAACAATCAGTGGGGCAGCCCTTGCCAGGGGAAGGTGGCACCAGCCTTCCAGCTCGTGGGGCGAGTGGTGCTGCTGGCCCCTGGCCTGCAGCTCTGAGCTTGGGCTCACGTGTCAGCTGCTGAGTCAGCCCTTGCTCTTCTGGGATAGTGAGGAAAACACCACGTGCTGGGGGAGCTGCAGCCTTTGGCACCCAGTTCTGTACAGAATCAGCTGTTGGGGGCCCTGCTTACACGAGCCCAAAACTGGACAGAAACAAAACAGGGAGGGTGACGACATGTTTTCATCTCCAAACCCTTCCCAAGCCAGTTGCTGCTTGGGTTTGGTTTGCAAAAAACAACTGGGAGTCCCCATGCAGGGCAGGGCTGGGAGGTTTTGGTGGGCAACAAGCAGCCCTGGGCTGGCCTTGAAGGGGCTGTGGGGTGAGGCAGGTACTGGTGCAGTAGCGGGGCTGCTGGCCCACTTGGGGGGCACAGAACCATCTCTGGGCCCCTCTCCCCTCCCCTTGGGGTCCTGCCCTGCTCACAGGGTCCCTCCCAGCAGGGACCCTGAGGCAAGCAGGGCTTGTTTGGCAGCAGATCCTCAGTGATGGGGAGACACCCAGTTAGCTGCAGCAGGGCTGGAGAGCTGGTCCCACTGAGAGTGCTGAGGAGCAGGGAAATGATTTGCCTTTTTTCTGTGCTTTGCTGGGGCTGAGGAAGGAATATTGGGTGTCTTCTCTGCTCTGCATCCCCCCAGGACTGTGATCCTGGGGCCTCACATGCTGGATGGAGATGGGGAAGGGTCGTGTCACCCTTGCATAGGCTGGGTCCCCACTATGACCAGCTCCCTGGGGACTGCTGACTGAAATCCTTGCCATGGCACCAACATCCCACTGCTGCTGGGTGCTGCCCACCAAAATCCTTGCCATGGGTCCCCATGCAGGGCAGGGCTGGGAGGTTTTGGTGGGCAACAAGCAGCCCTGGGCTGGCCTTGAAGGGGCTGTGGGGTGAGGCAGGTACTGGTGCAGTAGCGGGGCTGCTGGCCCACTTGGGGGGCACAGAACCATCTCTGGGCCCCTCTCCCCTCCCCTTGGGGTCCTGCCCTGCTCACAGGGTCCCTCCCAGCAGGGACCCTGAGGCAAGCAGGGCTTGTTTGGCAGCAGATCCTCAGTGATGGGGAGACACCCAGTTAGCTGCAGCAGGGCTGGAGAGCTGGTCCCACTGAGAGTGCTGAGGAGCAGGGAAATGATTTGCCTTTTTTCTGTGCTTTGCTGGGGCTGAGGAAGGAATATTGGGTGTCTTCTCTGCTCTGCATCCCCCCAGGACTGTGATCCTGGGGCCTCACATGCTGGATGGAGATGGGGAAGGGTCGTGTCACCCTTGCATAGGCTGGGTCCCCACTATGACCAGCTCCCTGGGGACTGCTGACTGAAATCCTTGCCATGGCACCAACATCCCACTGCTGCTGGGTGCTGCCCACCAAAATCCTTGCCATGGCACCAACATCCCACTGCTGCTGGGTGCTGCCCACCAAAATCCTTGCCATGGCACCAACATCCCACTGCTGCTGGGTGCTGCCTGCCATGTTGTGCCTCCAGTGCAGCTGCATGGCAGGGTTTGTCCTGCTCCAGCAGCTCAGCAGCATCTGGGGCTCTAGAAATGGAAGAGAATTCTCTGCATTGTGCTATAACCAAGAGATGCAGCAGGGGAACCTTTGGAGAACCCAAAGGCATCAAACCCAGCCCTACTCTTAACAGCCTCAAAGAGCTCCAGGCTGTGTCCAGAGTGTGGTGGCAGTGGGATCTGCCTGGCACAGCCTCCCCTGGCACGCTGGTGAATTGGGAAAATCGATGATCCCTGCGTAAGGAATCCTGCCTGCCAGCCCAGCTCTGCTTTCCAAAACCCCTCTGGCCTCTTTTCTCTGGGTTGTTTGGTTTGGTTTTTTGTTGGTTTTTTTTTTTCCTTCCCTTCAGCTGAGCAAACGTGGAAAATGTTGACATCTTGGATGCAATCAAACCTGCTGGCAAAACGGGGTTTCATGGCAGCGGCCGAGAGCCTGGGCTGCCCTCTCTGCTGGGATCATCTGCAAGCTGTGCCTGGATGGGTTCCCGGGATGCTGGGATGATGCTGGGCCAGCTCCCAGCCCAGCAAGCCAGGACGGGCTTGGTGGGACAACCAGGAGGCAACTTCCAGCCTGAGGCTGATTCTTGGCTCCCTCTGCGTGCGCTCCCAAGCGTCCCGCGTTTTTGCCTGCTTGGATCATGTGTTTCCTCACCTCTCCTTCCCCAAGATGAGGAGTGATTTACAGGGCTCCAGAAAACACAGCTTGGCTGCTGAGGAAGGGGAAAATAAGATTAAAAAACAAGCCCAAAGCCAATCTGCTTGCTATTTCCATCGCCCAGCCTCCTTCCCACCAAGGGGGGGGTGGCCCCAGTACCCACCAGCCCTGAGCCTTCTGCAAGGAGCAAAGCCCTTTTGGGATGTGCCCACCTGGAGCCATGTTCTCTAGGAAGCTTCTCCGTGGGTTGGGATCCACCCAGGGTGTTTGCTTGGGATCATTTTGGCCCTCCAAGGAGTCCCTGGTGGCCTGAGCAGCACCTCTCCCCACAGAGCTCCCCCTTCCCCAGCTGCCTGAAGGGGCCCCTTGTGCTGCTGGGACCCAAACAAGGCAGCAATTGTCTCTGTGTGCCTGGGCAGTGGGGGCTTCTGTGGGGGTACAACTGGCTGTGGCCCACCCTGCACTGAGCTGCTCCACAGGGCCTGGGGGGGGCTGCTGTGGGGCCATGGGAATTGAAGCTGGGGAGGTGATTCCTGCTTTTAAAGCCATAGGGGTGCGGGAATAAATGTCCAGCTGTGGGCATGGGAGGAGGGTTAAGAGCTGGGCTGCCTGGGGGGGCATCCCGTGGGCTATCCCAAGCACTATGATGGGATCTGGAACCACTGTGGGGCAAAGTGGGGAGTGGGGACCAGGAAAAGCTGATGCCCAGGAAGGTGACACTGGGGCATCTTCTCCAAGCTGCTGTTTTCCAACCTCACCCGACTGTTTTTCCCTCTCAACATCCTGGCCAGCAGCACAACAGGGTTTCTGGCTGCTGTGGTGTGGCACTAATGGAGGATAAAGGGGTGGTTTGTGGGGTTCCCAGCCCATCCAAGGGAGGTTCCCCACCCAAGGCAGCCTCACACTGGTGCTGGTGCTGGATGAGCCCCAGGAGGGGGTGAGGATCTGTGCCAGCCCTCGCTGGGGATGGATGGGGATGGATGGGGAGATGAACAGAGCAGCCACTGTTGGGGCAGCTCAAGCCCTGAGCTCCCCCTCGACCTTTCTGGAGGTGAAGGGGATGCCCTGCCATCCCACTCCCTGGAAAGCTGAGCAGTCTCCCCCACCATCTCCTCTCCACAGCTGAAAACCAAACCCCAGTTTTCATGGAAAGGCACTGGGGATAAATCCTTCTTGTGATCCTGTTGGGTCCCGTGATATTACAAGCCAAGAGAAATGTCCTCATTATTTCCAGAATATTGAAGTCTAATAAATCCCGTTCCTGCCTTACAGGATTTATTTCTCCCTTCATTGCTAGGAGACTCAGTCCCGTGTAATCCTATTGCTGCTCCAGGAGGTGGGAAGCAGCTTTCCAAAGCACAGACCTGGCAGGGCTGCAGGCAGGTGCTGTGGGCAGGAGGAGACAGCCCCATCCAGAGCTACTGGTGTACCCAGGGACAGCTCCAGTCCCACCAGTGACCCAGTGCCACCCCCTTTCCTGGGATGTCCCAGAGCTGTGCTGCAGCATGGCTTCACCAAAACACATCCTGTTGGGGCATGGCTGGACCAATGGGGTGTTAATGAACAATTAATTAAGATGGCATGGCACAGCACACCCTCCTGCCCTGAACCCTCCCCATTTGGGGTCCTCCCACACTTTCCTATGCCAAGACCCAGCAGGAAAAGCCACCCCAGTGCAGAGCTGGCCATGCCTGGCTCACCCAGGGACTCCCAAAGACAATGATGGACACATGGATATGGCTGGAAATTTCACCACCAAAGGTGGTTTTTTTTTTCCATAGCAACCGTTGCTGGGGCAACCTGCATCCTGAGCAGCATCCATCCATCCATCCATCCATCCATCCATCCATCCATCCATCCATCCCCAAACATCCCAAGCCAGAGTGCGTGGCACCACTGGGGTCCTCCCTGTACCCACACCAGCAGCAGCACTGGGACATTCCAGCTGCACCCCCACGGTTCTGAGCATCCCCATAACGCTCCGTGTTGATCCCGTAGGCATTTTGTTTTCTGGGAGGTGGGAGAAGCCAAAGGGAAACCTGTCGGTGCCTGTTGCCCCCCAGGGTCCTGTTGGAAGCAGGGAAGGTAGGGGGGGGATGTAGCTCTGGGTGCTCAGCAGGTTTTGGCTCCAACGCGTGGAAATGGCTGGGATCAAACCAAACAAACACACCTGGCCTTGGTGGGATGGGCTGCGGGGCCGGGAGAGGGACCAGGGAGCTGGGCCAGCAGGAC